ATGAAAAATGGTGGTTGTCATACCAACCTAGTCATTATACAAAGTAAAAACTAAGTTTCCCCTACTGCTAATTTCTTTTTCCCCTTACCTGTTACTCACACCTTCTTGTTAACTGTTGGAAATGGACCATCCTAATTATCACGACAAAAGTTTTTTTTTCTCCTGCTGATAATAGCTCACCTTAATTAATTACTCTCATTACAGTTGATATGGCAACACCCATTTTTTCATGTTCTCTGTGTATATATATCTTCTTACTGTATTTTCCACTGCATGCATCTGATGAAGTGGGTTTTAGCCCACGAAAGCTTATGCTCAAATAAATTTGTTAGTCTCTAAGGTGCCACGAGTACTCCTCATTCTTTTTGCTGATACAGACTAACACGGCTACCACTCTGAAACCTGTCATCAGGGTATATACAGTTAGACCTCAGCAGGTGAGTGCAGAATAGAGTCACAGCGTCAGGTTTGTGGCAGTCTAATTGTTTGTGTAGGCAACCCCTAAATGTGCATGGGAAAGTTACAAGTGTTACAATTGTACCATTTCATCTGTCTTCCTAATTCTGTCTGCAGTGTTTCTTGTTCACAATTTACACAAAAGCAACTGTGCCCACAATGATGGTGTGTCCTACAGAATAAGAATCACCAGGAATCTTAGAATGCAGCAATTCAACTACTATTGTAAGATGTGTTGCATGTGAACATGCCAGAACTGTTTTGTCAAAATTTTTGCTGGCTGACATGCCAAACCATTGTAAAGACAAGAGCCATAAACCAATCATTTTATGCAATCAATGTTCCTGCAACAGTTTCCTTGATTAAACTAGACCTACTCTTCTGTGGAAAGGAGCTCAACTAAGCTACTCTTGGTGTATCTAACTGAGTGATCAAATACCAACTTTGACAGCAAAACTAAAACTTAGATCCTTTTAAAAACAGATTGACTGTCCCACATTAATTCCTATTTCTCTAAACAGAATATAAATCCTAAAATCATGCTGTTCCTGCACATGGCATCATCTTTTTCTCCCATTATATGTTGTGCTCTCTATCACAGAACGATAAGCCAAAAATTATACCCTGCCACAGTAAAACCAATGCATGGAGGACAATGTAATACAGGACCTTGTGAAATTTCTGCTGGATGACACAAAGGCATGGCCTACTTCTCCTGGGGGAAGTCAAACAGCAATTCCGTGGTATCTTAATAACTTCTCATCTCTCCTAGCTATATTTCCAGTGCCATACTAAATTACCCCCTCCCTCCTGGTGTTTATGCCTTACAATCCTTTTAAATACCACATCACATATTTTTATCTAAGCTGCTGTTCACTCTTCACTTATGGATTGCTTTTGGCCTTACTTATTCCAAGTGACTTTTGTTAAGTTTCTTCCGCCGAGTGACTATTTTCACTCACTTTTATTAAATTAGTTTTAATTTCTTGATTTGGGGCAAGTGAAGGAGCTTTACGTGTTCAAATAGAAGTTAAGAGTTTAGTAATCATTGTGGAAACACTGCATCTGCTTACTTATTTACAATATGTATGCATGTGTGTGTGTGTGTGTGTGTGTGTGTGTTTTCTGAGATTAATGAGGAATTAAGGAACATTTGGGTTCTTTATATATTACTGGTCTGATACTGCTATTCTTGTTTAAGCAAAACTCCATCTGCCTTTAATAGGTTTGCCTGAATAAAAACGTCAGTATAAGGGCCTATATCTCATTTCGCATACTATTTCTCTGCATTAAATGTTCCAGATCTCACCATCTCTAGCTGGTGTATATTAAATGATATCTCAATTTCTATCTCATTTCTGCCTGCATCTGTCTTATAGAGCTACAGAGGATTCCAAATGATAGCTTTATTCATATCATCCTATGGACTTCTGTTATAACAACTTTGTGTTTTGTTAGAAAAAAAATCTTCTTTGGAGTAAGAAATTCTTACCATGTTGTTACTGTCATACATTTTCTTGCTAGTAACTCTAGAGCATAATGTGTTGCTTGCGCTGCACTTTCTCCTAAGACAGTACCCACACTGACTGCCAACTCCAGTTCATTTCCACGAATCAGGTTTGCCATGGCAAGCTTGCTCAATAAGAAAATCATATCAGTAAGTGACACAAGCACTTTTTAGGATTCACTGTGACTAGCATGTTACATTCAGTTGTGAGATTGCGCTTTCTACAGAGTGACAAAACATGCATTAATTAAATAAACTAAAACTTAAAAGTTCTGCCTCTGAGAGGACTCGAGAATTGTCTACCACATATCTCTGATCTTTTTATGAACAGAACTGCTTTCCTTTGGCCCAAACTCTAACATCATCCTTTGTCCTGCCAAATCGTCTAGAAAACAAATATAAATTAACATTGTTTCAATAGAATCTACTATTGTCAGTTCCCAGCACGGACTGCAGGGGTGGGAGAAGCCATGCTGCCCCCTGCTCCTGAGCCCAGGAGACTTTAGAATGGAGGTATGAGCTTCCCCATCCTCATCCCACCCTCTCCTTGGGGTAAAGAGCAGCTGAGGTGCCAACAAGGACTGCAATGACAGGAGAGGCCACAAGACCTTTAAACACTTCTAGTTACGCTGTAACATAGGCACCGCCTAATTGTCTGCTTTCTCTCCTCATCGCCCACTATCTTGGAATATATTTCTGTGTGGAGGCCAGAGTGGAAAAAGGACACAATGGTACAGCAATGGTGGAGCACCAGGACAGAGCGAGAGAGAGAGATGATGGTGATGGTTCGAAGTAAGGTAAATTAAAAAATAAACTAACCAAAAGAAATGTATTTTTAACATTTTGTGTATATGTTGTCTATTACTGTTTGCCTGTCTTGCCTATTTAGAGTGCAAGCCTTGTATTTTCCTGTATGTTTTCACACCATGTAGCACAATAAGATCCCTATTCTTACTGGGGCAACACAGCAATACAAATAGTAAACACTAATATTTCTATTTCCCTATATTTAGAACTTATATTTATTCATATAATATTACATAAAATAATTTTTCTTTGCCTAAAAGTGATATCCTGGCCACACTGAAGTCAATGGCAGTTTTGTCATTGACTTTCATGGGGCCAGGATTTCACTCTATCAATGAGAATGAATAAAAAGTCATACTAAATGCAAATAATATATTTTTAAAATTACATAAATGTAGTCTGTTTTAGAAAATATGCTACAGCTTTCAATATAAAAAATAACCTACTATTGGTCTTTTCCTCTGTACAGAATAAAGAAAAAATATTACCTCAATATTCTCAACAGCTAGATGGCAACACGCTGCAAGCACTGCACGGCCATCCTGGAAATACCACTCTGCCAGTTCTTTACTGACTCTGTGGAGGAGTCTGTAACAACAAAACAGGAATTCTGCAAGAACACTTCTAAAGTTAATAACGAAAGCACCTGCAATCTTTATAAGTAAGGGAACCGAATGCGGTTGAGCACACTAACAACTCAACCAGAGAAGTTACTGACCCACTTTATTAAGATTATTCATCTTATTAACAGCACTAGACTTCAGCAACACAATCAGACCAAGCTATTTTTTGGATCCTGGATTTTGACTGCATCAAAGTGGAGGACTAGAAACACAAATGTATATTTCCATGTTATTGTAAGCCCCTTGGGGCTGAGACCATCTTTTTGTTCTGTGCTTGTACAGAACCTAGCCTGGTTCTGGTCCATGACTAGTGCTCCTAAAGTTATACAAATACTAGGGCTGTCAATTAATTGCAGTTAACTCACGCGATTAACTCAAAAAAATTAATCGCAGCTTTAATCACACCATTAAACAATAGAATATCAATTGAAAGTAGAAGTAGGACTGAGTGGACTTGTAGGCTCTAAAGTTTTACATTATTTTGGTTTTGAGTGCAGTTATGTAACAAAAATATCTACATTTGTAAGTTGCACTTTCACAATTAAGAGATTGCACTACAGTACTTGTATGAGGTGAATTGAAAAATACTATTTCTTTTGTTTATCAATTTTACAGTGCAAATACTTGTAGCCAAAAATAAATATAAAGTGAGCACTGTGCACTTTGTATTCTGTGTTGTAATTGAAATCAATATATTTGAAAATGTAGAAAACATACAAAAATATTTAAATAAATGGTATTCTGTTATTGTTTAACAGTGTGATGAATCATGATTAATATTTTTAATAATGTGATGAATCACAATTAATTTTTTAATTGCTTGAGAACCCTAACAAATACTAAGTACTACTACTACTAATAATAAGCACTTGCGCATTTACAGGATGCTGATTTTACTATGTGCACATCAATACATAGCTGCACATTTGTCCTCAGAATTGGAGCAACAGCACTACATTTTTAAAAGGTCACTGTGTACCTGCCAAATTTACCTGAACATCCATCTGCTTGCTCAAAAACCTGACTATGAAAATCAGATAACCACACAAGCAAACAGATACTTGTGCTTGCACTTGCACATGCCCAGCTGTGCACGCATTACATGATTTATGTTTTTCAATGTAGGTGCAAACATGGGTACATTCATGGGTTTTATTGTGAGCATGTTCGATGGGGAGTCCACTCCACTCTCCCTGTAGGGGTTAATGGAGGCGAGATAGACCAATAAACCTATTAGGTGGCAGACTGGGAGAATGAAGGCTGAAAGGAAAGCCCTAATTAGGGGAAGCTCACCTGTGCAAGAACAGGTAGGGCTTCTATAAAGCCAGGGAGCTGATAGCAGAGAGGAAGTGGTCTGTAGTCACTCCCTGGGTGAATAGAGGTTGTTTGGGACTATTGAGGGTAGTGCACAGTTAACTCCTTGGGAGCAGGGAGTTTAGTCGAGCACACTCACACATGAGAAAGAGTAGCAGCAGGGCATGCAGCGAGCAGCAGAAGGGGGCCTTGAACCTGGAAAGAGCTGATTCTCCAGAGTGGCTAGGAGCAGACACCACCTGCAGTGAGTGGACCCTGCGACAGCATGTCAGCTGTCACTATTTGAAAATTTGGCCATTAGTGTCCACTATGTGGCATATTCCTCTTTGATGAAATGCAGTGTTGCCTTCAGGAGCAGGGGAGGGGTTATGGGAAATATAGAAATAATTAACCTGATGATACTTACTAAAACATATTTTAGTAAAGTTTTAAATGTCATGAAAATTAAGAAAGTTCTGTTGGTATTAAATAACTCTAAAACGTAGTCATAACAAGCATTTCAAGCCTAATTTATCTGGAAAAATCCATTTGGAGCCAGGAGTGGACATTCACTGATGGGATCGTTAATGCAGTAGCAGTTAGTTAATGCAGAGTCTGCTAATAATTAAGTATAGGGGAATACAAATGTCTGTTTCCTAGACTCTACACTACTGATGTCAAATCCAAATACCAAGACTTCCAGTGTAGTTATTGTCCTTGAGTGCTTTATACTCTGAACTAAAAAATTTACCGAAAAACTTAAAAAGAAGTGACTTCTCTGTAGACTCACTCATTGTAATCTTCCAAATTTCCATCAGTATTTGAAGATCCATTTGATGCTGAAAGCTGTAAGATTTGCATATTTCCCTCACAAGCTGCCTAGAAACCAACAAATTAATCCATCAACCATAAAATACTTTTTCAACCAGACAATTTGACACAGAATCCCTTTTGAAACCTGAGGGCAGTAAAGGAAATATTCTAACTAATAAATTAGTTTAGAGCAACTCTGTTCCCAGGACCTTCTTAGCCATGCAGGAGAGTAAGAGGAAGCAAGACACTCCCGCATCCCTACTGCAGTTGCAGGAGGTCTTCCCAGATTTCAGGCCCAAATAAATATGATGGATGCTCCCTTTTCTAGAAGCAAATGGACAGGGAAAGAATGAAGAATAAGCAGAGCCATGGCTCTGCTCCTCAATATGCCTGCCAGCAGAGGTGGATGCCTGTGAAAATTCAGGGTTGCAGAAAATTACTTCCCACCTGGAGTAAGACAGGAGCAGCCCAGGACTCAGTGACAATTCCTTCCTGGACTCCACCTGGGGCAATGCAGCTATATGCCACTACACAGTCAGGGTTGAGTCAAAATGCTCAATATAGCCTTTAGTGATTTTATTGCTTACAATTGTTATTTGATTAAGCCCTCGAAACAAGAAAGGCCAACAATGCTATGAACTACAGCAAAAGCATCATGGTGATGTTTCCCAGAGCCAAACAACTAAAAAGATCAATCCTAGCTGTATTGCTTTAAGGTTCAAGGAAAATAATTAGGCCGTGCATGAGTATACATCTAAGCTTTTTCCTCAACAGAATAGAATAAGTATTGCACAAAAGCAATGTGAACATGGGACTTTAAAAAACAAAACAAAACATGCATCAAAAATTCACAATGATTTAAGCTAAGACCACAAAAGCATTCTAGGGTAGTCAGACCCAAGATAAAGCCTTAGGGCAACCTTACTTACTTATTTATGCATGTAAGCTCTTTAAAATCAATGGAAACCACTTGCAATGAATAAAGCAAGAGAGAGTTGACATTCAGAGAAAAAAAATAGACAAAACATTCTGTCTTCTAAACATCATTTTACAGACACGATCCTACATCCCTTCTGCACCATGAGCTCAAATACAAATTTGGGGTGGCACAAAGAAGGCAAAAATGGGCAACAAATATTTTCAAAGTTGGCCTATTAGTCACACTGAACACATTAACAAAGTCAGATATTTAAAACTGTATATTTTCTGCAATATTCTGAACTTTAGAAGCACATTTTTAGCACTTTGCTTCATAGTTTCATTGATCACATTTACTATCCTGCCTTTTTTTTTGTATTTACATTAATCAAACTATTTGTTGTGAAGATCCTCTGAAAGATAGGACAGCAATTAGAACAGTGCAGAATTATCCTAACAGGGGCCCAATCCTATACCCATTCAAATCAATGGCAGTTTTGTCAATGACTTCCATGTATAAAATCTCCAAATATGAGACCCCTTTAATGGTTTCCAAGTAAGAGTTGGCCAGCTGAATACATGAGTGACATGTGGGATTGGGATTTTTGGCCATTTAACAGAAGTGCATGTGTCTGACCTATTAAATATATGCTTAATCTCAGATTTAATGCTGAAAGGTCAGCAATGAATAACTAAATTTACCCCCCTTTCCAAAAGTATTTACTCAATAGCTCAGGGGTTCTCAAACTTTTTTTGCTGGACCCTCCTTTGAAAATACTTCAGGCTGGGATAACCCCCCTCCCCCCCCGCCAAAGTGATAGCAAATTACTGTACATACTCATACGAGCATACTCGTGATATTGCCATCCTTACTTCTGCGCTGCTGCTGGCGGTGGCGCTGTCTTCAGAGCTGGGTGGTTGGAGAGTGGTGACTGCTGTACCCCTCTTCTCCTCCAGCTTGCTCTCCTCCCAACAATATTTGTTTTATCTCATGACCCCTAAAATAGCTTGTGACCCCTTTTTGGGTTGGAACCCCCAGTTTGAGAAATGCTGCATTAGCTCATGATAAATATGGACTAATATCCATGTCAGCAATAATACCTGTGCAACAAGCAGAGCCTCTTTAAGTTGGCCTCTTGAAGTAAAAAAAGTGACTAGTTTCTCCACATCACCAGTAGCTATGCAGTATGGGATAACATCATCATTTTCCTCCTGAATTAACTGGTCAGCTCTCCTAAATGAAATTAAAAACGACCTGGCTGTTTAGTTTTATTTGGTGTTAGATATATTTTTAGCACCCCAGTGGTACATCTAGCAGTAGAAAGATCATTAAAACCCATCTGCCTTGCCAGACTCCAAGAGACATTGGGTGTATCTACACAGCCCAAGGCAGCGAGCCTCCCAGCCTGGTTGACAGCTTTGGGATCATTCCTTAAAATAGCTGTGTAGACAGCACTTTGAAGTTGTGGCTAGGGCTGGAGCTCAGGCTGTGAAGCACCTCGCCTCCCCCGCTCTAGGCTTCAGAAGAGGAGCTCCAACCTAAACTGCTATATCTACACAGCTATTTTTAGTATGGTAGCACAAATCCAAGTCTGTCAACCCAGGCTCAGAAGCTCGCTGCCCCAGGCTGTGTAGACATATCCTTACAAGCTATACAAGATTCTCCCATGAAGACACGACATTAAAAGATTTCAAGCCTCATCACAGATTCTCCCCCAACCCTTAAACTTACCAAATAATATAGTTTTAAAATGTTCCATGCTTTTTATATATATATATATGGAATCCCTATTGAAATCCTCGCTCATTCCATCACAAGTTTTAATGAACAATAAAAGCAACATCACTGGAATGTTGAAAAAGGTGCCAGATGCAGTTTACTTTACTAGTACTGATGAATTATATTTTGTCTTGGTCCTTTATTTTATGCATATTATAAGTTACAATTGAGCAATGTGCTTTTAGCCTTACCTTTGCATTAGCTTCTTCCAGTATTTCATAGAAACACCTGGTGCAACTGAGAGTGCTTTGTCCCACTGAAACACAACATGTTGTACATGAAAATTTTACGTTTAGAAATAGTTTCAATCAATGACATGTCTTTTCCATTAAAAATAAAATTGTCATGATGTAAAAAAAGAACAAAAAATTCGGTGTTACTTTTTATTTGTAAATTGGATACATTTGTTCTGGAGTAACTAATACCCAGATAAAAAAATGTTATTGAGGTACACCTCTACCCCACTATAACACGGTCGTGGGGAGCCAAAAATCCCTACCACATTATAGCTGAAACCCCATTATATCGGGGTAGGGGCGGCAGGGCTCCGGCGGTGATTTAAAGAGCTCCGGGCTCCAGCTGCTGTGGGGAGCCTCAGACCCTTTAAATCGCCACCAGAGTCCCGCTGCTACCGCGCTATACACAAACCCGTGTTATATCGGGTCGCGTTATAGCGGGGTAGAGGTGTACGTTCCTAAATAAACAGATAGGCACTTCTGCAAATCCCACCTAAGTGAGTTAGGGCTTTTATAAATCCAGTTAGGTACCTATGTGCTTTGTTAGAACCTTGTTAAAAATGTAATGTTTGAATTCATGTTTGCCATCTCTTGGGCCAGATTTACAGAGTCACTTTTTCAGAACATAAACACGCTTTAAATTTTGTGTCAGTCTTATGGACCATAAATAGAGTCACAATTTATGGGGTGTTGTGTACATTATTCCTCAATAAGATTATTTTAGGAGTTATTTTAAAAAATCTATTATTGCACCCATCACCATAATGCTGAAACGCAAACATACTACTGTTTATATAATTTATTTATTTCTCCACAGTAAATGTTCTGTTATTTTATTTATTTATCCAATTTTCTCTTTATTGTTTGCAAAGCTTTCTTAGCAAGATCAGCATTGGAATATCTATCTATAGATAGATAGATACAAATATATATATATATAGATAGATAGATATAGATATAGATAGATAGATACACACATATAGACACACACACACATACAGTTAGCTTTGTTTTAAGCAGATGCATTTCTTACTAGTTACTGAAACTAGGTGAGTGTTTCATTAAATGCAAAAATGACACAGTAGGTAAAGCATACCTGAAATGCTATCATGAATTGCCAACCTTACATACAGCAACAGCATTTTAACAGAAAACAAATAACCAGGGTTTTGGTTTTAATCTTCACTAATAATTCCCCTCCCTTAAGAGATATAAAATATGCCATTTTAGTTGTCAATACATTTTTGTTTGTACTTCAGTTAAAAGTAATCTGTTCGGAGCAATCCATCTTGTTAACCCTTTGGGTGTTTCCTTAAGCCAAGTTTCACTGTACAGGTTAAAAACATCAAAATTGCAGGAAGATCACTCTTTGCTAGATTTATAACTCTGTTGTTTTCTCTCATGCAGAGGTAGTATTTATTAGACTTTTATACTGTACTTAGTTCTTCATTAGTTGGTTTAGTACTTTACCTCTCCAAGCTCCACCATAAGTTCACAGTATCTCTGAATTTGTCCTAATCTTAAATGTATTTCCGCTGCTTCTTTTAGCCTTTCCTCCTTGCTAGGTGCACCAATACCTCCTCCAAATTTGGACATTTTTACTGTTGTTAGTTCTTGGGCTTTGGACTGGTAAAGAAAAAAAACACTAGACTTATTTTTTTCTGATTAATACAATTATTGCTAAGACCAGTAAATATTAAAATCAAATATTTTAATGGTAATATTAAAAGTGCCATTTGAGAAGATAAATAACAGCTTTTTCACTAAAGACCTTAAACATTGAAGAGATTATGTTGAACTATTACACTGCTACACCCATTGAATTAGGGCTAATTAGTTGTATTCATATATTATTTATTTAAATTTATTTATAATTTTTATTTATTATTTTTTTCATTCCATTATCCTGATTCATATTTTTTGGATTATATATATTTTCATTGCATTCCATTCTTAGACACTTATTGATATCTTATACATATACATATGCTACCTCATAAAAATCATTACCTTGTATTTTTTGAAAACTCATTAAACACACATTTTGTGAAGAGAGACACATACACACACATGGGGGTGGGGGGGAGAGATGGTAACTAAGGCTCTTAGTTCTGATGGGAGTATGGAGTTGAATCTAAGTGAGGGTCGGATTATGGTAGGTGGGTTTGGTTTCTGCCCTTGAATCCTCATAACCTGCCATGTCCCATTCCCTCCATGACTATTTATATTTTTAACCATAATGGAGGTAAAGATTTCAGTTATGACTATTAAAAGGAAAAGAGAAATTTTCCCATGTGCTAATTGTATATAAGAGAAATTATTTATAGAGAGTTAAAATACAAAAATCACATTTCGTCTTAACTAATTAAGAGAAATAAGGCAAAAGTGAACTTTTCTAACCCTCCTCCCGTCAAGGGCTCTCATTTTATTTCAACTATCACTCAGTCATAGCTGCACATGTGACAATTTTTGCATTCATGACTTCACAGCACCAACGACTGAAGATGGAGATTGAATCAGACCTTTACACAAATGAATAATGCAGAGATCAGTTCTTGGCCCTATGTTATCTAACACTGATTAATGGCCTGAAAGAGACCCTTCAAGAGAACAGTTCCATTGCCTGCATCTACTGGTGCTTACAGTTTTCTCAAGAAGCAACAGAATAAAACTGACCTAACTTTTGCCAGTTTCATTGCTCTCTACAATATTCTCAAATAGCAGCAGTGAAAAAAGTGACAATGCTCTACCCAGTTTTTAGTCTGCAGTAGTTTAAGGAAACCTAAGAGCAGACAGCACAGGTGTTGGAGCACACTGTCTGCAGACTTAGGAGACCAATACTGGGGATGAGTTAACCTTGAAAATGTGAACTGAGTGTATCTACACAACTATAAGGGCTAGATTTTTTTAAGCTTTTAGGGAAAAGTTGAGAGTTTTTCAGAATTTGATGGCATTTGCCCAGAAAAACTTACTACATGCCATGTCAGTGGAGGTTTCAAGCCCTACTCTCAATTTGTTTGTCTTTTTTTTCTGAAGCTGTGATTTGAATGTGCCTAATTCAAATGTAATTATGGAAGTTTGATCCTGAGGGATATTATGAAGACAATGAGATTTTCTGTTTGCTTTTGCTTTTTCAGTAACATATTATCAGAGTAAGATGTGTGCTGAATGATAAACGTCATGGTTACATAATCAAGTGATTTGACACATTGAACATCAAAGTGCATAATAACAAGAGTTAGTAGTCTGACTCCACAGCGCAGCCTGCTAGAATGTTTTCATTTTTCCATTGTTTTGAAACACACTGTTTTTAACAGACCATCATCTAGCATTTTACCACTCAACATAAGGGGTAGTCACAGGTGCCTCTAATACAGGGCAGAACAGTACAGAGAACTGCAAGTAAAATGTTTATCATGATTTCCCCCTTGCATAGCAACTAAATCAACAGAGTAGCTGTGTGTTCAAACCTTTGCTTTCACTTACTCCTGTTGTCCCTATTAATGTGTGAGAAGAGAGACAGGCGGAGTCCAGGACAAGGCAAAAACAATAGCTTTTTACAAAAGGCAAAAGGAGGATGGAAGACATTTGTATTATTTGTATTGCAGTAGCAACTAGATGCCCCAGTCATGGCGAGGGTCCCATTGTGCTAGGTGCTGCACAAACAGAATAAAAGATGGTTCCTGCCCTAAAGAAATTACACTTATAATCAAGACACAGTAAGTGGATTTAACAAACAACTGGACACCTGTGCTGGCAGTTTCCCTTAGGCATCATGGTAGAACTGGATCCTAAGAGGGATTTGAAGGAAATCAGAGTAGCAGATTTACAGCCTGCCTTTGGGGTGGGTGGGGAAGGAGAAGGTTGTTCCATGCGTAAGTATAGCATGAAAGGAAGTCTGTGGTTGGTTGTGGGAGAAGTGGACAAATGGGCCATGCATCATTGGTAGAGCCAAGAGTGGGAGATAATGTGATAAGATACAAGAACCTAACAGGGGCTACGCTGTGAAAGGTCTTAAAGATAAGGACCAAAGGCACTGCAATACATCCTTGTGACAGGGTAGTCTGCCCCTAAAGAATAAGGTACCTAGGGGTCAGCCCATTCCCATCATGTAATATGGCCCTTCAAGATTTTGAAAGTCAGATGTATATAAAAGGACCTAAGAGATATCGAAAGAGAGGAAGCGGTCCTGGGAATAATTGGTGTTTTCAGGGCAATCCAATCACTGTGTCTTTATGGGCACTACCAGGAGCCTTGAAGAGAGGGCAGGACAAGGCTCCCCTCTCACCCAATCAACTGGGGACGAAGTGAGGGAAATGGACCAGCTTAAATACTGCCTCCTCTGTCACTGCAGAGCAGACACTAGCAGAAGAAGTCTGGCTGCTGAACTCTCTGAGCCTGAAAGTTAACTGGGGAAAAGGGGCCAACTAAAGGAGAATGCCTATGGTTGGCTAAATTACAACCCAGCTCCAAAGAGGAGAACTGGAGACTCCTATCTTAAGGAGAGAAGTAATAATTATCTGAATTACCCAGGTCCAGGAGGAGGGGTGGGGCTCCTGGCTTAAGGAGAAACAGGGTGACTGTTTCATTGACCTATCCCAGAAGGAAAGCTGGGGACTCCTATTTTGAGAGAGCGATGATGTGAAGTCCTACCCCAGCTCCAGAAAGGGGGCCTAAGAGGTCTCCTGAACAGGGGCAGGGAGCTGATCACGACTCTTATACAGACTGAGCATGGAGTGAAGTGAGATGACTATCAAAAGTGAGTTGCACTTTCTAGAAAGACTTAGTAAATCAGACCCCATGAAGGGGGTATAAGTTTTGAATTAATCTAGTCTGGGTAACTGATTGAAAGAACACAAAGGGGTGCTGCATGCAAAACATCTGCAGGGCCCTGAAGTGGTGTGCTGGAGGGCAGCGCTCCATGAGACTCCACAAGGAAAGAAGAGCCATACTAGCAGGGCGGGCTCCAGGCACCAGTGCAGGAAGCAGGTGCTTGGGGCGGCCAATGGAAAGGGGCGGCACGTCCGGGTCTTCGGCGGTAAGTCCCTCAGTCCCTCTCTGAGGGAAGGAGCCGCTGCCAAATTGCCGCCAAAGAATGAAGCGGCGCGGTAGAGCTGCCGCCAAAGTGCCACCGATCGCGGCTTTATCTTTTTTTTTCTTTGCCGCTTGGCGTGGCAAAAAAGCTGAAGCCGGCCCTGCATACTAGAGATGTGATCCAGTGCCTCTGTCAATAATCCATGTTTCACTTGTGTCCATGAGCTTTATCCTCACACCTGATCTTTTGCAAAAAGAAGAAATGCCTGCCTTTTTTCTTAAATGTGACTCCTATTCATTGTAAGTGTTCAGCTTTGTAAAGCAGTGGATTTTCATATGTTTATAACTAAAAAATAAAACTACTCATGAACAAGTTTCACATTGTCTGCATATGTTACTTACCATTCTAAATCTAACCAGATGTTTCATATGCATAATTCCTTTGCAGTAATTTTGTGGAAGCAAGCTATCGTCCTGTCCTTTTATTACAGCAACGAGGTCCCATAAATTTTTACTGCCTCCTGGAGGCTGAAATAATTAAAAAAAAAAAAGAAACAGATTACAATAATGTGCAAGAGATATTAAAATGAAACCTGCAAAGTATATGGTATGAATTTATTAGTCAATTCAAAGGTAAATATTTTCAGAGTATATCAGGTTAGACACATACTACAGTCTCTTGAGTAAGAACTATTAGTGCAGTTAAGTGTATCAGGATGAGACCTGTATCAGTTATATAGCCACAAAGCACAACATACTTATAGCACACACATACCACATGTGTGGAGAGAATATCTGTATAAAACTGAAGAAGCATGTAAAAAAATAGCAGAGATGTCATAAATAAAGAATACATGATGGTGTCATATGGAGGTTTTACTCCCATCAGTTAGAAGTGGTCTAATTCTTGTATCCCTCCACCTGTAAATCCAGGTACCTAGGTTACCACGAGTCTAGGGTTCAGACAGAGATTACACTAAAACATATAAAAACACCATTAAAGTGACCCGAAAAGCCTTCTTAGAAATAAAAGTGTCATAAGTTTAATGCCTGACATATTCTGAACTGGGAGCAAGCACTGGGTCCCAATTCTAGTCCTGAAAAGTTTAGGAATAGGACTTCAAGTTTATCAGACTTTAATAGTAGTGACTAGAACTGATTAAAAAAATTCCAGAGACTTTCTGACACACGAGAAATTCTGATATTTTGACATTTGTTTTCGTCCCGAATCAAAACTAAACATCAAAATATTTATACTTTTTGCAGAACAAATATTCCATAACATTCTGATTCACTCACTTTTTGCGGATTCTGATTCAGAATTTTTTGTTTCTATGTTTTTGACTGAAACAAATGGGGCCAGTAGGTGAGAAAGGGGGCTTGAGTGACCCGGAACTACAACTGCCATGAAGCCCTGCAGCAGCTCAGACAACCGCAGAGCTTAATGCAGACTCCACCCAACATGAAACACTTCACTTTGACAAACTGAAACAAAATGTTTAATTTTGGGTGGACAAACAAAAGCAATTTTATTGATTTTCTCAATGGAAAATTCTGCTAAATTTATCTATTGCAGCAGAAAATTCTGATTGTGATTATACCATATTTTCAACCAGTTCTAGGAGGGACATTTTCCATCTATAAACTATCACTAAGCAGAAGTCCTTCGTGCATGTGCTAAGCCTATTTTGAAGGAAATAGTACACAAGGGAGGGGAGAAGAAAGAAGAAACTTTTCTTTTGCAGTTTAATTTAAGGAATACATGCACGTGCAACATGTTGATGATTGTGGAATACTTACTGACAAACATTCTGAAAACCACCTTAGTTTTTTCCCTCGAGGATTACCAATCAGCTTGTCCACCTCCTGTTTAATATCCCTGGATACTTTACCACATAGCAAGGGAGGAGCACCTGGTTCCACAGCACGATCTAATCAACACAAATGTTTATGTACACAAACATTTTATTAAAGGTAATCTAACACAAAGCAAATGAAAATAACAGTATGTATAATTTACCTACCAGTATTGCCAATGATCTCATCCCAAGATCTGTCTGCCAGGATATTTATTTGGAGAGGGTTTATCAGCGGTGTTAAAGACCAAAGTCTCACAGTGGAGTCACGAGAACAAGAGGCCATAGTGAATGGACGACTAGGATGACATGTTAATCCTAATGGAGACACCATTTTAAACATTATTCAGACAATTACATTTATCTGCTAATTAGTTTTAAGGAAAATATATTATGGACTTTTAAGGTATCACATAAATACATTTTAGCAAAATAAGAATGGAAACATTAACATTTAAAACTATATTACCATATACATCTGCACCATGATCATAAACTGTGTCTAGACAGGTTCCATCTCTTGTGTCCCACACCCGAATTGTATAGTCCCAGCTGCCTGATATTAATAGGTAAGGGATTTCAGTATTCCACATTAGTCCCCGTACTGGTGCTGTATGTCCACTAAGAACATTTATACAAGCATCTTGTGTGTAATCCCATATTCGAACAGTGCTGAAAACAAGAAACAAAAAGCATATATCCATCAATATACCAAAACATGATCACACCTTCAGCAAAATTCTGAAGTTCACATTTTACCTGGAATATTTACTTATCTAGATTTACAGACACTGTAATACAAGAGCTTTTATCCAATGCTTTGGGCACCCTATACAATTTGTTAAAAGAACACTAAAATAAAGAGACCTGTCAGTTCAATTCAAATACACCGTGACAGCAAAAATATAACTGAAATTCATAGATTAAAAGATTCCGATAATCTAGTCTGGCCCCCTGTGTAACACAGGTATAGAACTTCCACAAAATAATTGCTAGAGCAGAAATCCCCAAACTGAGGGGTGCATCCCTCTAGGGGAAGCACAGAACAACATTCCGGGGAGGGTGTGTGGCGGGGCCCGGGCCAGCCCTCACAGGGAGTGGTGAGGGAGCACCAACCAGCCCCGCTCCACCCCCATATCCGTTCCTGGCCCCAGCCCCACCCACGGCCCTGGCTCCTGGCCCCGTGCCCAGCCCCAGCCCTGCACCTGGCCACAGCAGCTGACCCCCACCATGGCCTGGCCACAGCTCTCCTCCCAGCCACAGGCCCCAGCCCCACCACCACCACTAGCCTCAGCAGCTAGCTAGGCTCCATTCCCGCCCTGGCCCCAGACCCACCCCTAGCTGCGGCCCCAGCCTTGGCCTCCTTACCCCATCCGCCGCCACCTGCTACCCCAGAGCCACAGTTCCGCTCCCGGCCCCAGTTTGCGGGGGGGGGGGTGTTGTTATTTATTATTTCCCATGTGGTAGCAATGGTTTCTGCAGGGTTTTCTGGAACAGTGGAACCCTCAAACAGCTATGGGGGTGGTAAGAAGCGATTCATGCCTGTATCATTGCTATATTTTCTATTTAAGAATAATCAAATTAATTTTCTAAATGTCCTTTCATGTACGATAGTTCTAAACATTGGCTAAATCTAATCAGCAACCCCAAGCATAGAGGGTTGGTTTTTTAAAAAAAATAATCAAATAGTTTCTTGAAATGAACATCATATTTCTCTTTTTACAAAACATTAAAATCTGACAGGCAACGTATCTACTTGCACACTAGTAAAGCCCACTCATGCCAGTGAACATGCAGGGCAGGTAAAGCAGCCCTATTTTTGTTTCCCCAAACCTGCGGAGGAAAGATTCTACAAATCCTGCATCACAAAGCAGAACTGACAGTCAGAGGGTGTACTTTGTATATGCATGTAGCTCATGAATCAGAAATGGCCCAAAGGCAATTAGTGACCACCCATACACAGTCTCCTCTCAGAAATCTTATGCAATGTATATATCCACCTGTTTAGGGGAGCATTTGGCATAGTTCCAGAATTTCACTCATGAAATACAGTGTTACCAAATGAGAGAAACAAAAGGCTAACAAATTTTCCAGAATAGTGTAGGACCTAGCTATTCAATTCTCCTGACTTTAGAGTGTGATTGTACTCTGAAAATGACTATGTATTATCTAGGTACTTATATGGCCCCCATTACCATAGTCTGAGTGCCTCACAATCTTTCGTGTATTCACAATTTCATAGAGTTCCATATTTATTGTCTCTCTCTGAATTCATAAAAAGTTTGCAATTTACAAGTAAAAAGATTTTTTTTCTGTCAGCCTTGCAAATGCAACACGAGTCTCAAAATCAAGTGTTTTTTTCTAATGCATACCAATGAATGCATGGATAGAAAATTTGTATCTGCGTCCAATCCACAAACGTGGTCCGTGGATATCCACAGATCTGCAGGGCTCTACCCAGGAGCTCCCCACATGTCCTCTCCGCTCCCAGAGGCCAAGGCCTCCTCACTGCCATCCTAGACCTGTTGTTGAGGAGAGACAGGGACAGGCTCTGATCCTCTGATCTTATGACCCCTCCCAAAAATATTTTGGATACCTGTTGGAAAGTGACTGGGAATCACAAAAGAGGTGGTGGTTCTTGCCTGATTACCTTGAGGAGAAGTTTCTTTAACCCCTTTCTGACCCTTTGCTTATTCACAGCTGTCATCAGTAATGCCATTGAAGGGGTGGTGTGGCCCCTTCAAAGATCTCCACAGATGATATTCAGTCTATCATACTCTAGATAGACACACAAGGGAACCTTATTCCCTCCACTCACAGGGTCTTGGATGCAATGTGAGTATGTAGTATCATCCCAATATAGTCCCTAAGTGGTAGGTGGCAGTCACTGACTCCATTATCTGGGTAGGGTATAGAGTGTTGTAGTCATGTATCTGTCACATGGAAGCAGGCATGGAGCCAAGCCAGGATCTGCATTGTGGAGGAGGCAGGGCTACAGTTTGGACCTTAAATGTTATTCATAGACACAATGATAGTAATTTTTTTTTATGGTGCCAGCACCAGTGCAACTTGAGACCTTAAGTCTCTCACAGAATCTAAGAATACACACCCATCATCAGAACCACTGCAGAGGATTCCTTCTCTCAGAGGAGACCACCTTACATGAAACACCTTTGCAGTATGCCCCGTAAAAACCTTCAGTGGCTGATCAGAGCTTGTTGCTAGGTAATAAACACGAACATTTTTATCTTCACATCCAGTGGCTATCATATCTCTGCAAAATGACAACAGTACAATCATCAGCCATTGGAGTCAGTAGAAATGTATTGCTTTCAATTCTAAAAAATACAAATGTAGCACACATTTTAATGTATATCTCAGAAAATTTGACTTGTATTTGCTTTTTTTCATGTTATCTCTTTAACAGTTGAAATTATGCTTCAATATATGATACACAACTACAAACAGTGGGTTAGACCCTCAGCTAGTGTAAATAGGCAAAGCTCCATGAATTTCAATGGAGCTACAAAATTTACACCAGAATCTAGCCCATTATTTTCCAATAAATCTATTGAGTACACAGTAACAGAATAATTTTTTGCACCTATCACTAACTCTGCCCGAAACAAAAATTTGCAAAATAAATGAATAACATGACAGATCTGTTTCCTGTTGTTCTTTTCACTGCTATTCCTTAAAGCCTGGTTGCCATATTTACAGAACAAGGTTTTAAATAATAACACTGTATGTATGTGTTGTGCTCAGGATTAGGCTATGTATATAATTATACAATTAAAACAAATGAATAAATGGTAACGGTACTTGAAAAAACAAAATAAATGGAAATGGTATTTGAAAGGAAAGTCAAATAGTGGCAGAAAAATAAGTCACATATCCATTGCTATGTATTTTATTTTTAACCAATTCCTTATGGAAAAGTTATCCAGCTGTGTGCAGTTCTCCCATTATTTCACTTCACCCAATCTGACCTCCCAATTGCTGAACCCCTGAACCTTCCCTTTCCACCCACATCCAGTAGCTATGACTCAATCTCACTTGCACCTGCCAAACTCCCCTGCAGTCTTCTCTCCCCCCAATGTGCACTCCGTTTCAGCTCTTGTTGCAAGATTAGTATTAAAAATTCAGCATTACAATGTAAGTCAACCTCATAACCTCACAAACAGCAGATCCGATATTATTTTTGCTATTGTATATTGTTAATAAGGTTCTATCATCAGCATAGTATGAGAAAGCACTGTTGTTTAGTATTCTTTTTTTGAAAAAAATGAAGCGCTTTTTGGAAAGTTTAAAGATCACATTCTAAATTACCTTTTTCTTATATTACGAGTTAAAATAAGTTAACCTACATGATGGTATTTGTGTTTGCCTTTTCTAAGCAAATATTTTTGATCATATTAAAATACAGATAGCAAAGACTAGGAGGGAGAAAATTATTCACACCACAGACTGTAGGCACCTTTTAAAACCACAGTCTTCCAGGGTTCTTAAAATCACCTCTTTGTGTAAGGTGAGGTCTGTCCTATGGTAAAGAGGAACAGAATGGAGGAGTTTGACATGAATGGACCATAGGGAGGAGAGGAAATTAAGTGGCTTACTATTGCCACATGAAGGGGCCAGAAAGAATTAGACACTTCTGTTTCCCTGCTAAGACAAGCTGGACCACCATCACAACAAGCTGTAAGGAACAGGGGAAAAGCCGCAGCTAAATTAGCCACACTGAAGTTTCTATGGGGAAGAGGCAACTCTGCTTCCTATATATGCAGCTTCTCACAAATATTAGAAAAATTATTCCCCCCAAGCCAAATATTAAAATTTTGGTCAATATTTATGGAAACACTTGTTCAAAGTCTACATTTTTGCAAAAAATATGCAATCTTGGGTTTCCAAATAGATTTTTTTTAGTTGTATGCACTCAGGAAAGACTATGCAGATTTTGTGCTCTTTGTTCCTTTCGTAACCAATTTACACCATTCTTGAATTTACACACTACAAATGCTCTAACTTTGTAATTATTCTCATGGAATATATTTTATTATATTTTTTTTAGTATCAGTGTTGCTAAATTAAATATAATAATTTATGTCTCTGCAAGTCAGTTGCATCACTGACACAGTGCATCAATTTTTTTTTTAAGTTTAGCTATACTGAGGGTATGTCTATGCAGCAACTGGAAGGGTGCTTCCCAGTGTGGGTAGACAGGACTGCACTAGTTCAAGCAGATGTGTCTACCTTCCTGTGCTGGGACGCATCCCTCCAGCTGCTATGTAGACATACCATCAAGGCTTCCCATTTATTCCTCACATTCTTTCTGATTACTTCAAATGGGAAACCTGTTGAACGTTTATTAATTTAGTTTGAAGAACTGGAACTCTCCTGTCTAGAAGTACAATTGTTCTAATTTATGGATGTTAAATACTAAGATGACCCATTTCTAAATTATTTGCTCACAAGTGGGACATCAATTAAGGTTTTATTTTAAAATGAAGCATATGAAAATACGTGATGTAAATTTTAAATAAGTAAGTAAGTAAGTAAATGATTCCACTTTGCTTGAACATTCTCATGTACTCCCTGGCCACACCTCCTTTTGTCTCTCCACAGCTAGAGTGTATACGCAGCGGGAACTAGGCCTGCCTGATCATAATACTTTTTTTTTTCAGCCAGAAGAAGAAGCCAAATCTGCTAAGCTTCAGTGGCATATGATTCCATATGTCCAGGGGCAGCTCCATGTTTTTTGCTGCCCCAAGCACGGCAGGCAGGCGGCTTTCGGCGGCGCACCTGTGGGTGGTCCGCTGGTCACGCGGATTCAGCAGCATGCCTGCGGGAGGTCCGTCGGTGCCGCACCATCGGTGTCCCCGCCGCCAAATTGCCACCGAAGCCGAGGGACTGGCGGACCTCCCGCAGGCGCGCCGCTGAAAGCCGCCTGCCTGCTGCCCTCACAGCTACTGGCAGGCCGCCCCCCGCGGCTTCCCGCCCCAGGCACGCGCTTGCTGCACTGGTGCCTGGAGCCGCCCCTGCATATGTCAGCATACTGTTTTTCCTATGAAGCACGACCAAATGGTTAATGTGAGCTTTTCCAAAAAAAACCCTCACAGCCTTGAAGACTCTCCTCTTCTGGAAGCCAAGCCACTGGTCCCTGTCCCCCTCTGCCTTCCGTTGCACCCAGAATTAGACTTACAGTGCAGTTCTACTCTGAAAAATGACTCATAAATATGGCATTGGGTCTCTCACTGACTTCCATGCACCTAGCCCTGCAGATTCACTCAGAGCGAAGTGGAGTTCTTTTCTTCTCATACATCATTACCAGTAACACAAGATCTACAGGCCAAACACTGTCCTTTACACCTGTATCATCCCCACTGCCTTCAATGAGGGTAGAATATTTGGCCTGCAGATTTTGTATTACTGGTGACGCTGCATAAGGAAAAGAATTTGAAGTGATCCTCAGCGCCCAGATTGATGTTTAATGATATTTTTACAGTCATATTATTAGGACAGAACTTCATATCAAGGATGGCAGTGCAGCTCATGTTAAATAATAATGTCTGTAAATAAGGAAGAGTAAATTGGCCTTTTACAGTATGGTCCCAGGATTCTCTGCCTTTATAAAACTAGGTCAATACACTGATATCACATTTTAAAATACCTTTGCATTATCTTTATGGTCATTCATTTAAGTTATAAATGTTGTTAGTTAATTAGTTCAATTAACTATTACTCACTTGTTGTTTTGGCTCCAATCACAACCAAAAACTGCAGCTGGATGTTTGTACTTGTGAAGAACTTTGCCATCAATGGTTCGAATAATACTGAAATCAATTACAATATGGTAATAAGAAAAAAACCCCAACATACTCAGTAGGACAACCCAGGTCAAAACTGATTTTATGTGCACCTATAATCAACATAAGGAGTCAGATTGCAGAAGTGCACAAGTGAAGGAAGAACAAAAGAAACCTTTCCATCCCTGCAGCCCCCACAAAGGTCACAGTTATAGTCCTTGTGCTTCCCCAAATACAAGGGCTGGTTAGAGGTAGTATACCTTTCCATAGAGGCACAGAATCACAGAACCATAGGATTAGAAGGGACCACAATGACGGGGTGAAAGTAAAATTGAACTCTTACCAGTGTGGGGGTCAGCACCGGGGGCCCCCTGCCCCCAGAAGGAGCAGGGCCTCGGGCAGAAGGGGTGGGGCTGGGGGTCAGCGTCCCCCAGCAAGCCCATCCGCGTTGCTGGCCCCGCACTGCCTGGGGCTCCAGCGGGGATTTAAAGGGCCCGGGGCTCTGGCCGCTGCTGCTGTGGCCGGAGCCCTGGACCCTTTTAAATTGCCGGGCACGGGGCAGCTGCTCCTTTTGCCTCCCCCCATCAACAGCCAGGGGGGTGGCAAAAGGGGCAACAACATTAAAGCGCTGCCATGGCAGCACTTTAAGCAGGGTCCTTAAAGCACTGTCGCAGCAGCGCTTTAAAGTCAGCAGTATGGGCTGGTACCGGCGGCCCGTACCGCCTTACTTTCACCCCTGCACAAGGGTCATCTAATCTAACACCCTACCAACATGCAGGATTTGTTGTGTCCAAACCATCCAAGACAGATGGCTATCCAGCCTCTTTTTGAAAACTTCCAGTGAAGGAGCTTCCATGACTTCCCTAGGCAAGTGTGACATGAACCAACTTGTGCCACAAACATTAAGTAAATGGTTCCACTGTGCCTGAACATTCTCATGTACTCCCTGGCCACCCCTCCTTTTGTCTCTCCACAGCTAGAGTGTATACACAGCAAGAACTAGAGTTCCATACCTACGCCTGCCTGATCATAATGCAAGCAGTAGCGCACATACCACTAATAGGAAACAATACTGTATTTTTGTTAGCAAATGGCATAATATATGCATATGTTGCTACTGTGTTGTCTGCTGTTGATGTAGTGCTATGTAACTTTATATTAATATATATAAGCAGAACACATCCAATGGTTATTTATGCCAAGATCTTAAACATTAAAAATATGGTGCTATCAAAGTTCACCTGTCCAAATAGCAGATTATTTTTCAACATGACACTCACCAGAATCCATCGCCACTGCAGGTCGCTATTCTTTTGGAATCTTTATGACTCCAGGCAATGCAGAAGATTCCATTCTTTCCATGCTTCAAAAAATGCAAAATACCTATCAATAAGAAATAATTCACCCCTTTTTCTCTTAATTACTGACTTCTCTGTGGTTTTGCTAGTAGGATTCATCCCCATTTTCCTAAGTACAGTACATACACTGCACTTTTACACAATAATGAGGCCCTAGCCTTGTTGGGCCATGTAGGGTATGTGACCAGGAAAAAGGGAGTGTGGCTGGAGTGCTATTGTACTCCAGTGACCCCCAGATACTCCAAACTATGCTGCAGGCAGGCCTGGTCCAGAACCATCTACAGGATCAGAGAGTCTCAACTGCAGAGTGAGCACTTTGTGTCTATATGAACTTGGATGAGGGTTAGCTGACTGCTGGGTACTTAACTTGGACAAGGTTGAGAAAGTTAGTGGGCTGTGTGAAGCAGCTAGAAAAGTTGGTGGAATATATATCAACACCACTCACTGAGGAAAGGTAACTTGTAACACAGGTGTGCACATTAGGCGTGTTTTTAGATCTTGGGCTGCTTCTGGATGCCCAAGTGGCATCTGTGGTCAACTTTATTTTTCCATCTGTGACTGCTGAGAAGATGCCCTTTTTCTCTCTCTGATGCAGAGTTTACCACAGTTATCCATGTCTTTGTCACCTCCAGATTAGATTGCTGTAAGGCAGTCTAAATGGGGCTACACATTGAGACCACTTGAAAACTGAAGTTAGTGCAGAATGGTGCAACCAGCTTATTAAACAGAGCTTTATGCCAGGAGCAAATTACATCAGTGCTCGAGGACCTGTACTGACCACCACTAAGATTCCAGGTAATGCAAGCCCATAAGAGGGGCACTTAATACAGATTTTTATAAGACTAAATCAATAATTAAATAACAGTGCATTGCTAATGCAGCACTGTCATTCTGGAGTGAGACCTCAGGACTATAAATTAAACGAGTTTTATATCTGGTAGCAATAATCACTGCTACATTATATTTTGATATATTTTTGAGTCTGAAGATTAATAGAATAGAGTAGAATAGAATAGAATGTGTGTGCTTTTGAGAGGAAATATTCCACTTTGCTTTTGGATCTTCTGTTAGTCAACTAGTAAAGCAATGATATTGAAGTGATGGATCCAAGCATGTCACAAAACCAACTTAAGGAAGTGAGTCGTACCTGTTCCAGAGCTCAGACTGCGTGTAATCAATTTGGCTATATTTTTAAGTTAAGTTACATACTCCTTTAAAACATACAAACACTGATCCAGCTTTATCTACATCAGCACTAGAGGGAGCCACTAGCTTACATTTAAGAAACCAAGCAAAATAAACTCATCTCACCTCACTGAACCGGGTTACCATTTTGCCTCTAGGGACATCCCAGATAAAACCACCATTCCTGGAGGTTGCACCAGCTATGCAGTTCAAATCCCCTTGGAGGAACAGACATTAGACACACATTATAATGAGTACAATGTCAGTGTTATTTTTACATATATAATTTTCCATTTTAATTAAAGAAATACATAACCATATGATAGCAACGGCAGATTAGGAATGTAGCCTCACAATTGGAGCCCAAAATTTGCAGGGGATTTGACACTAGTTCACAAGCAGCAGTTCCAACAAAAGCCTTATGTGTTCTACCCTCCTACTCTAGGCACCGCTGTGCAAGGTAGACATTGACTGGTTGCAAACATGAGCTGAAGTCCCATCCCAACCCCATGCTCTGAATGCAGAGAGAGGACAAGATGTACCACCTGACAGCACTTTGCTGTCCACAGGCTTTCTTTGAAACTATAAATGCCCCACAATGTCTAGTGCTTAAAGCTCAAAGCATCTGCAGAAAATTATGTAGTTTCATTTTAAACCTGTCTGAACAGCAGAACACAGCAGAAAAAGTGCCCTCTCTCTCATAGTTGGGCACACATAGGACAGATGTGAGGATACTTGAGCAATCACTTTTCTTTTTAAATTACTTCCAGTCTTGGACCATCAGATTCCACTACTATCTATCCCAATAGGCCCCCATCACTGTAATAGCTGAGTACTTCAAACACATTTGTGAATTCATCTTCACAGTACTCCTATGATGTAGGGAATCATTATTGTATACATTCTACAATGGGGACTAAGACACAGAAACACAAGACTCCACTTTCTCACCACTGTGACTCAATCCCAGAATAGAAACTGGTGCTGTTAACCAGGCACGTCTCATATAGAATACACCCATATGGTGCAGAAACAATGAATTTTGGATTATACTTCAGGGGCTAAGAGGAGAAAATCTGGAGAGGGACCCAGGGGAGCAGAAAAGATATTCAAGTAGGTGGAGTTATGGAGGAGGGGAAAGAGAAATCAGTATGTTCAAAGTTCTTTCCCCAGATCAAATCCATGCCAAATGTTGGCAAATATTGTATGTGTGGGAGCAAATGCATTTGGTGGATGATGCAAGCCAAAAAGTGGAAAGGGATCAACATTTTCTCTTTCAGATAAAGTTATTTATTTCCCACAAATCAAATTACAAATACATTTCTGTTGTATGTTATTTGTATTTGATGATGACATATCTCTTAGTACTATTAATGCAGGGCATAAAGAAAAGAATGGGGGATTCCAGTCACCCTTGTGACAGGTTTCAGAGTGGTAGCCGTGTTAGTCTGTATCAGCAAAAACAATGAGGAGTCCTTGTGGCACCTTAGAGAATAACACATTTATTTGTGTAAGGGTGAAGGAGTGGTTGGCATAACCTAAGCAGTAACTGCTGCAGATATGAGGCTGTTGTTGTAATTACAGAAGAGCTCTGCTGTTGCTCTATTGGATAGGGAAAAATTCATCCTCCTGTCCCCTGGAAGACTCTCCAGCAGCAGGCATAGCTACATGGACATGATATTTTGAGGAAGATTCCTCCAAAGGGCCCTTTTCAGCACTTTGGCAAAACTGACACTGTAGTCAATGGGAGTTTTGCCTAAGTTAGAAGCTCTGAACAGCACCCTTAGTTGGGCTTGGGGACACATCTTCCAGAGTATGACTAAGATCAACAGTTGCTGGTAGGTAGCCTCTCCCCTTCAGACCCACAATGAATACATGAAGAAAGTCCTTGCACGGATTTCTCAAATCCTGCCTCCACTCCAGTGAAGCAAAACTGCCCTGGTTCTGGTGCTGTAAGGGTCTTTTACAAATAGTTGCTGAGGAGAGGGAAGGATTTTTTCTTAGGGATGGACAGCTCCAGAGAAGAGCATGTACATTCCAGCTTGCCAACTTGAGAATTACATGAGCGTTTACTTGAATTCATCAGATCAACTGCATTTTGTGCAGAAAATTTCAATAATCATATAATAATATTTATGCCTAAAATCAAATACGCTTACCTGGAGCCCAAGAAAGAGAATAAATGACCCCCTCATTCCCAGGAGAGGTGTAGACTGCTGTTAAAGTGTTTATATCCCAAACTTTTATTGTCCCATCAAATGATGCTGTAGCTAGAAGGTCAGGGTTATCGGGTTTGAATTTACAGTCAAAGATGGTTTCAACATGTCCCTAAAATGGCAGAATAAAAAAATGAATACTAGTACATTAAAGATTTTTCTCACATGAACACAATTGATTTAATTGCTAAGCTAACCCTATTTTCTATAGTTTTAACTCTTTATGTAGTTCTCTAACATCTTTACATCTATATTAACATTTTATATTAATATTTTAGCATGCAATTTAGAGATTTACATAGTGCCTTAAACCAGTGGTTCTCAACCTGAGGTACATGTACCCCATGTGTACACAGAGGTCTTCCGGGGGTACATCAACTCATCTAGATATTTGCCTGGTTTTACAACAAGCTACATAAAAAGCACTGGTGAAATCAATACAAACTAAAATTTCATACAGACAATGACTTGTTCATACTGTTCCATATACTATGCACTGAAATGTATGTATAATATTTATATTCCAATTGATTTATTTTATAATTCTATGGTAAAAATGAGAAAGTGAGCAATTTCTCAGTAATAGTGTTCTGTGACACTTTTATATTTTTACGTCTGATTTTGTAAGCAAGTAGTTTTTAAGTGAGGTGAAACTTGGGGTACACAAGACAAATTAGACTCCTGAAAGGGGTACAGTGGTCTTGAAAGGTTGAGAGCTAATTCCTTAAATTGCCAAACACTTTTTTTATTTCTAGATTTAAAAAATATGCTTAACCAATTTTCACCATTATATTTTCTTTAGAAGTCTTACCACAAAGCAAATGAATTGCTGAGTTTTAAGTAACTGAAAACTATGTGAGTGAAAAATATAATGGAAAAAGGCAATGATCCTTCATTTGAATGCAACACTAAAATAAAACCTACCAAACCAACTACATGCTCCAACAGAGCCATACTTTTCAGCTAATCAGTTAATAGTAAAAGGTGTAATAAGCATCTGGATCTCTCCTCTCTCTCTTCTCCCAAAGGATTAAAACCCCCCAGCAAAATAGAATATGCCATAGGCCAAATTCTGCTCCAAGCAGCACCTGTGCACACTCTGGGGAAATTAACACTGCCAACCACCTGTAGAGTTGCACAGGTGTAAATGAGCACAATTTGGCTCCGTGCGTCAGTCATTATGACTGAAGTGTTATTAATTGGGCTGCACCTAAATGCAAAGTCATTTCTATTTCAAAATTCAATTTTCTTATATTTTTCCTGTGAGACCTTATATTCCAAATGTGTTTGTTTTATACCTTATGGTGAAATAATGACCCTTTTTGGAAAACAAGTATGTGAAACTGACATGAAAGTTCTAAGGTACAATTCTCAGTGGCTGGCCACCTTTTGCTCTTGTGAAAGTGGACTTATTTTTTCACAAGTAGAATAGAAAGTTCTAAAGCATTCTTTTTAAACCCTGATTTTGTTTTCAGACATAATGTCTGTTTCCATAAAAGTGGAAATAAACAAACTGGCTGCTTGCAGATGAAATCGAGTTCTAATAGTTTCTTTCCTGGTTTCCTATTTCTGCTTCCATTTTCATGGGCCTGGATGGATGCTGGCGTCATACTTACAGTAAGCATCCATATATTTAAACAAGTGTTTGTTTAATAAACTATATTTCATTTTCTTCATTTATAAACATTAAAAACATTTTTAACAAAATCAGTAACACTAAGTGGTGGAGTTCTACCAAACTCCTGGAATATCTCCAGTGGTGGAGGAGCTAAGGTATACACAGTTAATGTCAGTTTACTTCTAATACACCAGACGTGTAATTCTCCACCAGTGGCATAACATAATCCAGGATTAGATGACCTGGTAGTAAAAATGCCTGTGCCTTATCTATCCTACAGCTTCCAAGGTTGCTACCAAAGGACCTGCATCAGTAGAGAATTACATTTCTGAATTTTCCCAGTGCAAACACACTCTCAGTGTAACCCAACATTTTGCTGCATGAAACTGCTTTGCTAAATCTAATTCTTGCCTGATCATTGAAAAAAAGACATTATGAAGTAATGTTAGAAGTTTTACATTTTTGTGTTACTTTCTATTTCTCTATGACATTTTCATAGGCTTGCTCATACTGCTTATTCAGACAAAACTCACTGGTTTCACTTAATGCTTTGCTTGCATATGGACTGCAGGATCACACTATGAGATGTTTGAAAACAATATTTATTTGCCTGCTTTGCTTAGGGTTTTTCAGTTGAGTAGATTGTTTTTTCCTCAATACTCTTTCTTAGTTTTTTACTTAAATCCAACATGACACTGCATTTTTTACCTACTTGTTTATTAAAAGCATCATCAGTGAACTCATCGCACTGTTTTCTGCATGTGCTAGCTGGATAATTGACATGCAGCATAAAAAGGGTCACACAACTATTATACTCCTTCTCTTCATCCATTATTGAAAGAGTAATGCTTTTTTTTTTTGGTGAGGTGGGAGAGGAGGGGAGATGGGAAGAGTTAAACTGATATTTAAAATATGAAGTATCTCTCTCACTAAATAATATTAGTTTTAAAGTAGTTCAAATTTGGGTCCTACATTATTTGGCAGTCTTCCTTTGTAGTGAAGAATTAAGTTCAACATTCTAGAGCTGTTATATAAAGTTTCTAAATCTTCAGCCCCTTTTTATTTATGAATCTGATTTGCCTGCACACTACACTGTAGGCTCTATGCTCAGTTCTTGATTATTGTGCATAAAAATGCTGTATATATGTTAATTATTATTTCATTCAAAACATTGGACAGGGAAAGGAGACATACCAAATCTCTAAGGAAATCCCATTTCTTGGCTCCCATGTCATAAAGTCCCACTCCACCATCCATAAAACAGCAGACAGCATGGCCAGGAGGAAGAGAGAATGCTTGGTTTTGGGTTAGAGTTGGGGGTGGAACGGCCTCACTGGTAGATGATGTATGATGATTTTTAGTAGGAGAATGTGATGAAAGTGCTTAATAAAAACATATAAACATATTAACATATTTTTGTTCATATTTAAAAACAAGCAGCAGTTACATCACTTCACGTCAGGGCTTGTAAAATTGATTTGCCTATTTGATGCTGACAAGGAGGAAGGTTTCCATGGTGAGAGGCTGGGCCTGAACATATCTGATATTGTGTGTCTCCCAATAAATCCTTCTAAACATCAACAGGGGAGCAGAGAAATCCCTTAGAAAAATATTCAAGAAACTTTTAAAAAATAACAGGTTATACCATTTAAAGGGTGCTGTGTCAGAATCCACAATTTTTGAAAATTAGTCTTCTTCAAAAAATTCAAGTTGATAGTGTCCCTCAAAATATCAAGCTAACAGTAACAAAAGTGACAGGAATTGATACTGGTAGTAGAAAAATGGTGGCTGACGTAAAACAGAAGAACAGAAGTTAAATAAGACCAATATTATCATCTTTATTATTTGTTTTTGGAAATGCCCAAGATGTGCTAAGTGCTCTACAGACATTCAAGAAGGGATGGTTCCCTTCCTGAATGAAGTTCATAGTCTAAGGAAAAACAAACAGGTAGAAAGAGGTTAGAGGAACCAGGAACAACAAGATAAGTAGATTCATTATCTGTAGTAGGGCAGAAGTGGGTCTCTAAAAGGAACTTAAATATGGATCTATGCCTTGGTAACTTGGAAGCTGTACAATGCATAGAGGTTGCATAGAAAAAGACAGGGAGATGAATATGGGACAAGTTGATAAATAGGCAGATGAGAGTGGGAAAGTCGGCAGTGTGGAGGGGACAGGAACAATGTGTGCTGAATAAGGGAGGATAAGTATATGCAGCTTTGAAGGTGGAGGTACAAAGCTTAAATTTGATGCAACATTCTCAAAATACTGTCTCTAAGCTGGTGAAAGAGTGCAAAAATGTGTTCTAGCAAGTTTGAAGAATTCATAGAATAAAAGTGAGAAAGTGGATGATATGCTAATAGGTAACCTTCCCTTTCAGTCTCTCTTTTTCATGGTAAGAGATTATGTGGTCAACAAAATGTCTTTTCTGATTTTTATACTATTAAACTATTAAGGCCTAGAGAACCGGAATCAATACACAACTTGCATTACACATCTTTACATGTATGCAGTGTTGTTGTACCCATGTTGGTCCCAGGTTATTAGACAGACAAGGTGGGTGAGGTATCTATTATTAGACCAACATCTGTTGGTGTGAGTGACAAGATTTGAAGCTTCCAGACAGCGTCACGTGTGACCAGACAAAGATCTCTGTATAAGCTCAAATGCTTGTCGCTCTCAGTAACAGAAATTGGTCCAATAAAAGATATTATCTCACCAAGCTTGCCTTACCTTGTTTACCGTGTAAAGCTATTCTAAGGGGCTACAAGCTTTGCATATTGTTATGAGGTATCTGTTATAAAAAGAGAATGTATATGGTACTTCACTGGGGTTGGGAGCAAGACTGTAGTATTCCTACATGAGGGACAGCCTAATAAGGAAGAACTTAACAAAAGGTTTGATCTGATAGCACTTAGTCCGCCCAAAAATGCATTGGGGTCAAAAACTTGCAACCACTGCACTGAATTACAATAATAAAATATATACTTACACTTTTTCTTTGGAGGAGAATTGAGCACATGTAAACCATGGAACCCTGTTTTCTTCAATTTAAAATTATCTATAGGTGTTGTGCGTGAAACATTCCAAATACGTAACACTCCAACCTGAGAATCTGAGATTTTAAAAAAAGCTCCATTTATTAATGTTTTTTCTACATAAACAATGTACATAATTTAAGCACCAAATTAATAAAAAAGTGAAACATTGAATTAAATGTATAATCTTAAAATAATGTTACAAGCAGGCTTTTACATCTTCACAATAATGTTACTTTAAATTACAGATGTTCATTCTTCGAGTACAGTGGGTAAACCTATCAACAACAGCATAAAATATTCTCTCATTCACCCTTCCTCTCTCTCTACTACTCCAACAATTCTCCCACAATTCAACCACAATTTCCCCTTCGCTCTCTGGTTCAGAAAAGAGAAAGGATTGGAACAAGAGAGCTCCAAAAATAACAGAAATGGAAGTGGGGGAGTGGGGAATGGCTTGCTTGCTTATGCCCATCCCCCAGCCCATTGTAATCCATGCTGATAAACTCATGGCAAAACTGTTTGCATCTGTTTTATGCATTCATTTTTTCTAGAATACGTTAAAATATTTCTGTTTCTATTGATATTAAAGTCAAAGGTATAGAAAAGATTAAACATGAAGTACAGTACCTATTTTGGAGATTCAATGCTATATTTATAACCATTCAATAAACTATCAACAATAAGAAAAGATTACCTCCAGTAATAAACATTCCAGGAGCACTAGGAACCCAGGCTAAGCACTGAACTGATGCTGCTGCACTAGGAAAATTAAATACTGTGATACAGCAGAGAGACTCAGAATCAACTAGTCGAATGCCATTATGTAAATTAGCAACAAGAAGATAATCAGTCGACAGAGGGTCCCATTCCAGGGCTGTCACTGGATCCTCCTCATCTGTCCCTTCAAGAGACTCTGGTCTTAGGACATGTTTCTGACTCTTAGAACCTTTAAAAGCAAAAGGAAACAGACCACCTTAAATTAGATATAATGTGTATCAATTACAGTGATTTATGCAGTTTTGTTATGTCTGCTTAGGCTGACAAACAATCCGTATTTCCCCCCAACACATTCTGTAGCTTCTTCCACAGGCTGTACTAGTGAAGCCAGCAAAGCTCATCCTCTGCTGCACTTACTAACAAAGGTCTGACTCCAGCAGACATTTCCACTGCTTCCTTTTTATCTTAATAATAGAAAAAATAGAGTGAAAATGGTTGTTCATGTTTACAGGTTTAGATCCTGCAAACCCTTATTCATGGGTTCGCAGCATCAGGCCCCAGATGCAAGCTGGTTTTAGGTAAATACATCTGCACAAACAAAATAAAATATGAGCAAAGAAAAGAAGAGTGATATAAACCAGGAGAAAGACAGTGATAATGAGTCAGAGTAATCAATGTAATAACTTATTTTTTCAAATGTAAATGGACAATTGTTTTTGTTACATCATTTGTTCAAATTCAGGAGTGGATAAATAACAAATAGAGTCTGAGTATGATACCAGAAGGGACCCTTACATCATCGAGACTGACATCCAGTATATATCAGCACATCAAATATCACTCAGCTACCCCAGCAGTGAGCTCAGTAACTTGTGTTATGATCATCATTATCCAATATTATGGAAAGCTAGCACTGATTTTTGATATTACAAAAAACAATCCCACTCACAGATAACACAAATCTTTGTTTTTTAAAGCGATGGTGTTCTATTCAAAATAAATAAATGAACATGCTGTGCTACTTCCCTAGAAACAATGAATTCATTAATTATCTCTAAATTTATTCAGCTTTTATCTACTTTTGAATTTTGACAACTAGGAATGCCATTAATTTGTCACATTTTGACAAATATTAAAAGCTATCTGTTATCCCTCTGGTGGATTTCATTTAATCACTGACGTAGAACAGAAACAAAAACTACTTCAGTTAGCATTAAAAAACTGAATCAAAAAGTCTGTTCACTGGGGAACATTTTTCTTTGAGTATTAAAATAATTCACACTATAATTTGGTAGGTGTGTTTGCTTACAGGTGTATGGTACTTATGGTATGGTAGAATTAAACACCACCTGTTGCTGCTGCTGTTGGGGCAAGTAATACACATCAGACTGGATAACAGTGAATAGGAGCATAATTGATATACATTTCTGTTAGTTTGTCTCAGGCCCATAGCTAGCACATTGACATGGGGTAGAGGACTGCATGACAAGAGATGCTGTTGTGCTTGCCTTCAAAATTTCATGTACTTAGCGAAAACCATAGTCTCAGTCAGAGGCTTTTTTTTTTTACTTTATTGTTATGAAATAAGGAAAAATAAGATACATATTTATATGATTGTTCAGTATAACAAATATTCCAACACTCAAAGATTCAGAAATATAAAAGTATAGATCTTAACATGAAAGTGGGGTGTAACAAAGATTGTTCATGAAACTAAAGTTGAAATCTCCTTGGATAATGGCATCTAAATTCTTCCACAAAGGCATTCAGGTTCAGTTCTTCAGTCAAATCACTTTCCTACAACAGGAGAATTAGGTTTCTCTTTCTGTCATGGGTGGTGCTCAGCCCTGGGTGTGATAAAATTCTTTTCAAACAAGAAAAGGAATTCTCACAAACTCAAGATCACTATAGACAATTCAATTCAAATACAGAATTCTCAAGACCACTATAGACATTTCAAAAATAGACGGGAAAGCCTCCTTTAATTCATTGGCAGCACCTAGAACTTCTTAAAATCCCTTGCAATTTCTCTCTTCTATCAGTGGTTTAAATACAGCCATTTCAACTGTCACCTTCTCAGTATCTAATCCAAGCAAGTCAATCAAAACACTCGGTGATTCCAATTTCAAGACATCTGGAGAGCTGGTGAAATAGATTGCTGGAAAGCTTTTGTATAACTCGGAATTCTTCTAATAAAATCTCCTTTGCAATTCACCACTGGTTTCATCAATCGATTTTTGACAAATTTGGGACCTTTGATGCTCATTTACACTTTGGAATTCTGGTAAGTATTCAGTGACCATGGAATCTTGAAATTTTGGGGCCAATACCATGGCTCTTTTGGTGGCACATCTTAATGTTGATGCTTCATCACACACATCTTTCACAACACGGTACTTGGATCGAATGTCTGGGAAAAAGTCTTCAAACATCTCTCTCTTCTGTTGAAGTTCTTCACAGGCAATAGTAATCAATTAAACTCCTTTAGCAGGGTGCATTACTTCCTTCTGAAACTAATTGTTCACACAAGCAAAAACTTTCAAAACCATTCTCATAACCTCAACTAAGAACAAGAATGAGTGATTGTGCAACTTCCAACATCCCTCTTGCACTATATTCATTCAGAAAGTCTGACGAATACTCTGAATCTCTTCCAAATTACTATTAATTATTTCTGGGGTTTTCAGGTGACCAGTCCATCTTGTTTCTATGAGTCTTTGCAGGTGCTAGCCTTTATACAGAACACTCATTTCAGAAAAATACTGTATAGAAAATTACAATTTGAGAACAAACCTGCCACTGCTGAGTTCCTGTCAGACACAAGAGACCACCATATGTAGTTGGTTATTCAAGCAGTGTGTGTATTTGCTTGTTTAATCTCTCTTGTAAAAGGATTCGTAAACACTTCCTTTGCACTTTGACATCATCAAAGCAAGAATAAAGTATTTTGAGGGTCAAGACAGCTCATGGAGGTCTTTCAAAATCTGTTGTGTAACATCTTCAGCAGTGATACCATGCTATTGGGCCACTCCAATAAGTCTCTTTTTGGCTTTGAAATCAACATAGTAGTGTAAAACAGTGGACACGTTTCCTACATTCACAGCAGCCTTTGTAGTATCACAGTTCAGGCAGAAGAACTTAACATCACTATTTTTTCTGAATAGCTTCAACAATATCTTTCAAAACAATCTTCATTATATCAGTTATTTCATTCTGAATTTCAGCAGAAGTGTACTTTGCATTTTTTGGAATGGTTTTCAGAGCATCTTTGAATTTTGGATCTTGTCCTACAGTAAACTTAAGTAGGTTGATGAAAATTCCTGATGAGTTGTTCAAAGTAAGATCTATGTCCTTGACGTTTATTATATCTTGATCCCTCAGAGGCAACTCATTTATCACAGCAAACTGATTAATTTTTGTGAGGGTTTTAAACTGTATCTGTTTCTTTCAATTTGTGAGGATGACACCAAAGCAGCAATTGTGGCATCTGAAAAAGGAAGTTATGATAAAATAAATATCAAATTCATAAATCATTAATGATATTGAGCAAATTAATAAACTGAAATCATAAAAATAGTAATTTTTTTGTATGCTGGATCTACCACATCAAGTTTTGGAGTTTTCCTCCAGATAAGGGATTTAAAGTTTATAGGTGCTAAAGAGTAGGCTTTAGGATACGTCAAGGATGTGGAGGTATATGTATGATTTTGTGCAGGACTTGGGTCTTGACCCGTGATTTGACACTACTTGATTTGTGAATCTCAGCAGAATGACATGAAAATATAAATGTGAAATGTAGAAATATCAAAAAATTACCTGTAGCTTCTCTTGTCCTTGTTGCAATTCCCATCAGCCATTGTATTCAAGTGGACTAAGCATTTCTCATGTTTGATTAAACCTTTGCCTTGATAAAGTGCGTTTTTCCAATTGCAGAATCCAGATTTGATAAAACCATATCAGTTCCCATTCCACCAGCATTGCTAGGGTGTGCATACACCCACCAAGGAAAACAAAATGGACTTATCAGTTTTAACAGAATATTCCAAACACGCAGAGGTGACATGTGGGGAAGCACGCTGGGTAACATGCCCCCTCCCTGATTTTTTGGTTTCACCCTCAAATCCAGACTGGGTGGCCTGCTGAGATGACTCAGGGGGTGGAGGTGGTGCTCCTTCCTCAAGCCCCAGTGCACAGGGTTATCATTGGGGGGAGCAGAGGGACATTGGGGGGGAGCAAGTGGTGATGCCAG